TGCTCATGACTTCTTTGTCGTAGCAATCCGATTTCGCTTCACGTTCGGATAATTCCGGGACGTATGTAATTGACATATATTTTTTGTTTTTATTATTTTTACCGCTTTTTGAAGTGAATTGTTTTTTTAGCACAAACTTAAATTTATAATTTTTCTGGCAACACCCAAATCAATTAAATGCATTGGGTCGAGAGGAAAAGCCGTTAATATATTAACAGGAATTTGTTCAGTTCAAAGAGATTTATTGTGGTAAAAAGGCAAGAGGTGTGAAAGAAAAGACCTGTTTCGAAATTGTTCGTTGGTAATTGGAAGGCCTGGAATTTTACTATAAACTGTGAGATGGATAATACGCTTGCCAACTTGATTGCTTTTCAAGCAACCACTAAATGAATTGGTCTTTGGCGTCCCACACACAAACGACCTTGCGAGGCCAGCACAAAAAAAAATACCTTAGTTTCAATAAAACACTTGTCACCAATTTTAAAAATACTTTCAGAAAGTTCTACCAGCTCAGATACAAAATCGCCCATTTAATCGTCTACATTACCAGGGTTGCGACTACCAACGTTAGACTACTGGGAATATTATGAAAAAATTCCAAAATTGGCCACAAACTGGTATTTTAGCTTTTAAAAAGCGTCAGTCCGTCAACGTTGACATCCAAAAATAGTTCTGAAGCTTACGGCTTATCTTTTATAAATTCCAACTAATTTTGAATAGCAATGTGAGTGTAATAACCCGGCCTAACCACTTTGGCCAAATTTTAAGCCCCTGTAACTTTCGAAAAATTTCAAAATACTCAAAACCGGCCCAAATGTAATTTTTTTGTTGAAAATCTGACCTTTTAATTTTAGGTTGCCCACTTGGCAAATTTTCATAGCATCAATGTTTTTAAACATATACCCAAGTAAATCATAATTTTAATGTTTTCAAAAATTTTTAATTCTTGCAATAGCTGCAAGGGTATATGAACTTCGGCTTGCCGAAGTTTGCTTTCTTTCTTGTTAGAAATAATTTCTTTATTGAAAGTAAGAGCACTAGCAGCTCATCGCAGCAACTCTTCCTTTTGTTTTCTCGCTAAGAGGTGAATATTAGATCCCGACTTTCTCCGCATTTCAAATACTATTTTTTTGTTTAATTTTTCAAATATAATTTTTTTAAGTTCTAAAATGTTAAATTTAAATTTAATTTAATTTTTTTTTTTTTTGTTTTTTTATATATATTTTTCATTCAATTCATTTTTGTAGGTTTATAGGCAGAAGTGAAAGGAAAAGAGAAAAAAGAGAGCACAAAAATAAATTAGACGAGTTAATAAAAAACAAAATACAAATTTATGAACAAAACATTAATTACCTTTTGTTAAGAAATAGTTTTATCTGGGATTAATCGAAAATAAAATTTAAAACGAACTAATTAAATTTACACAATTTATGGATATGTATTTATTATAGTAAAAAACTCGAATCTTATTGCAGTACGTTAAAAAAAATTAATTTATTTTATTTTTTTGACTTACAGCCACACACAGATTTAGGAACAATTTGTTTATATTTGTTTTGACTGTACACTGTTTTTGAGACTGTTAATAAGGTTTTATAAATTTAATAATTTTTGGGCACACGGAGACTTTACATGTTGTTTTAATTAGTCCAGCTTTTTGCTCACGTTTTTTTGTTCACATTTTTAATATATGTTAAGACCGAACATAAGATTGTAAATAAGTGTTTTTAAATTAAATAATTTTTTGGCACAGGTATACTTTACATATTGTTTTAATTTATCCAGTTTTTGGTTCATGTTATTTTATTAACAGTATTGGAACTCCTTTTTTTAATTTGTTTATAACAAACTATATTTAAAAATTTCAACGGCACCGATTTTTAATAATTATTCAAAACACAGCACACAAAATTGTCTACAAGAAAATCAAAACCTAGTGCCGCTAAATGCAAAAGAAAAGAAAAAGACCGCGCGCCTTCCTTGCATTTTCTCTTATATTCTTGTCATTTGTTTTTAAAGAGTACTGTTTGTGCGGTTACTGCTTGTGATTACATTCGCGGTGGAAAGTATAGTACAGAGAAATGTGAAAACAAAATCCCGCTTTGAAAATTAATCATGTATTCGTGTATACATATATCAATCTTTATTTTTATACCCTTGCAGAGGGTTTTATAATTTCAGTCAGAAGTTTGCAACGCAGTGAAGGAGACATTTCCAACCCTATAAAGTATATATATTCTTGATCAGCATCACTAGCAGATTCGGTCTAGATATATATTTTTTTGTCTTTTTGTTGCAGGTAGTACATAAGTCAGAACGAGCCGGATCGGACGACTATAGCATATAGCTCCCATAGGAACAATTGGAAAAATACATATAAAAAAATTTTTATTTCTTCGACATATAATAATGGTTTACTATTTCAGAATTACGGTTTAACTTTCATCAAAATCGGACGACTATATCATATAGCTCCCATAGGAACAATCGGAAAAAATGAACAAATATTATATATATTGTTTTTAAATTTTTTTCTTAGTTCTTCGACATATAGTATTGGGTAATTATTTCAGAATTACGGTTTAAATTTCATCAAAATCGGACGACTATATCACATAGCTCCCATAGAAATAATAAAAATATATAAAATAACTATATAATATTTGAGCTGCAAATCATCATAGCTTCAATGTTTTTCAACATATACGCAATTAAATCATAATGTTTATGTTTTCAAAAGTATTTAATTCTTGCAATAGTTGCAAGGGTATATGAATTTCGTCTTGCCGAAGTTTGTTTTCTTTCTTGTTCATATTAAAAAAAAAAAAAAATTTTAAACAGTTTTTTATATATCTTAATTTTAAACAACTAATTTTTCGGTAAAAATTTTAAAAGTCATTAGTTAAAATTTTAAAAGTCATCGTTAGTTTTTTAAGGATAATTTATATATATTTGTGCCGCTGATATAGCTAGCAAATATATAAAAAGTCAGTTTCCTTTCTTTTTGTTCTTTCCGAAACTAGTGTTCCTTTTCCTTTTTTTGTAAGCGATGTTTTCACTGGAAAACACGGCCTTAATTTTATTTGGATTGCTAACTTAGTTGGAAATATCACGCTTCCAGGATGTGTTCTTTTACGCTTCCTTTGCATGCGAAAAACGCATTCCAGATCCCTGAAAGCTCCCTTTCCTTTTTGTCCGAGACGGGAAAAGAAGCAATTTGTTTACATTTGTGTTGACCGTAAACTGTTTTTAAGACTGTTAAAAGGTGTTTCTAAATTTAATATTTTTTTAAATTATAATATTTTTAAATTCAAATTAGTCCAGTTTTTGTTTATGTTTTTTCGTTCACATTATTAGTATTTGTTATGACTGTACACTGCATGTAAGATTGTTGATAAGAGTTTTTAAATTAAATAATTTTTTGGAACAGGTACACATCGCATGTTGTTATAATTAAGATGAACTGTTATTTTATTAACAGTATTGGAATTTCTTTTTCTTTTTAGTTTGTTTATATCAACACTATACTTACTTGAAAATTTCAACGGCAGTGTTTTATTTAAAACACAGCACACAGATTGTCTCCAAGAAAATCAAAATGCAAGTGCCAGAAATGTAAAAGAACCGAAAAAGATCGCGCGCTTTCTTTCCTTTTTGTTCCTGTCGTTTGCTTTTAAGAGTACCGTTTTGTTTGGTTACTCCTTTTGATTAGAGTGGCGGGAGACAGATTAGCGCCGGCAAGTGTAAAATAATAATTGAACACAAAATCACGCTTTGAAAAAAAACATGTAATCGTGTATATATATTGTTACCTAAAATTAAATTATAGTAGTATATATGTCGGATCAAGCCGGATCGGACGACTATAGCATATAGCTCCCATAGGAAAAATCGGAAAAATAAATACAAAAAAAATTATAACTTTGGTGTTTTTTAATTTTTTTTTAGTTCTTCGAGATAGTTAAATAGTTAAATATTTCAGAATTACGATTTAAATTTCATCAATATCGGACGACTATATCATATAGCTCCCATAGGAACAATCGGAAAACAAATACAAACAAATTATAACTTCGCTGTTTTTTAATTTTTTTTTTAGTTCTTTGACATATAGTAATGGTTAAATATTTCAGAATTACGGTTTAAATTTCATCAAAATCAGACAACTATATCATATAACTCCCATAGAAATAATAAAAATATAAATATCTACATATATAATAATTGAGCTGCAAATCATCATATCTTCAATGTTTTTAAACATATACGCAAGTAAATCATAATTTTAATGTTTTCAAAAATATTTAATTCTTGCAATAGCTGCAAGGGTATATGAAATTATAATACCCTCTGCAAGGTTATAAAAATTGAACAAAAAAATTCATCGCAAGTGTAATTATAGTGTATAGTGCAAAAAGATGTGCAAAATTTCATTAAAGAGGCTCTGAAAACTTCTACCCCTAATACCTCTTCAAGAAACTCTCAGTAATTGGCCCAATTAAAAAAAATATATATATGTATGTATGTATGTATGTATGCATGTGTGAAATGTATTATGTATTAAGGGCATTTCCAGATAAAGGGCTGAAAAAAAAGATTTCTCGCTTATAATAATGGTTATTAATCTGCCCACATTTTACATCACATATGTATACCTACATATACTTTTAACCATTTTCAGAAATGGCCATAAATCGCAACTAAAATATTTATGATCTAAGGACACCGAAAATTTTTGACAGCTTATGTACATATTATGTATATACACAATTTGTAAGTAACCTAATTACCCGTTCATATTAATAAGTAAATAAATAAATACAAGTAAAATCAAAAAATCGAAGGTGCAGACAGTTTGTTCTCGTCACCTTAGTATAAAAACGCCATGTGCAGCTTATATTGACTTATATTCCCAGAGTTGACAATGATCGGGCATATCCATATACATATATGTATGTACATACATAAATACATGCATATTATGTATGTACGTTCACCTAGCGGGTAGGTCTCTTCGCTACCTACATAGGTCGAGGAAAGAGGAAGCTTGTCTGGTCCTGGCATCTCAGAGCTCTGGGCGAGGGCGGGGGTGAGTGTGTGAGGGTGAGTGTTTGAGGGTGAGTGTACGAGGGTGTCTTTGTTCTGTTCTTTTTGTGTACACTAACAAGATGTAATATCATCATAGGTTGGTGGTTGGACGAATATCAACAACGGCAACGTCGGCGTCAGCAGGGCCGCGAAGCAAGAGATGTTGAAAACTAGAAAGAAGCCAAAAACATTACAAATCAGTTTTTGTCGGTCCGTGCTCTCGTAAGGTCAGACCACCGCCACACTATGTGTTTAATAGGGAGGATCCGCTTAGGACGACAACTTTGGGCTGCATGCAAAAACTAAAAATAAATTTTGTTCGTTGTCATTACTACATATTTATATGTCTGTGTACTCACAAATGACTTAGCTGCCAGCAAGGAAATCGTGCTTACAGACCGCAGGATTCTTCTAGTCAGTCGGTAACAAGTAAGCGACGCCAAGTCCGAGTTTGTAGTTTGTCCCTTACCGCACAATGTCCAGGGCTCACATTCTCGAATTCAGCGAGTGCAGCGATCTGATTACAGGTTACCAGATTGCCACGCCTCTGCAAACTCAACCACTGAACATGCTAAACTCCAGCACCTGTTCGCGATCCGATTTAGGAAAGTGCTCAGCGACCTCATTAGTGTCTGCGGCGAACAGATTTCCGCCCCAATATTCAGCCATTTTCGTGGACAATCATCACCTCAACGGAAGCTCGGAATCTGTAAACGTACAGTTACGCAGACAACTACCTGGACAGTTATGTGAACAGCTGCTGACCGGCAATGTTAGGACGACTTCCTACCTCCAGTACTGTCAATCGCCACAAGTAATGCACAGCTTGGGACTCGGACTTGTGCATCATGTGCCCAGGTAAGCAAAAAATCTACTCAAGTTTTTTTTGTTTTATATGATCATCTATTTACTAGTTTAAGGTGAATTTTAAATAAAATCTTCGCGGACCTAACATTTCGGGCTAGTTCTTTATTCTTGAGTTGGCAGGACTGTTAATTATATTTGGCCAAATTTCATGTCAATGTCATTATCAGAAATGCATTTACGCTTGAGTTTACCAAACGAGTTTACCAAAAGTGCGTTTTTCAGTTGTTACAATGTCTGCTTTAATTTCAACTGCGGAAACGTTGAGTATGATGCGAAAGGCGTTTGGTGATTCTACCATGTCGCAGAAAAATGTTTATAAGTGGTACAAAGATCTGTGAAAACCATTTTGAAAGACCTTTCAGGTCATCTTGTTTTTGCATCACGATAATGCACCGTCTCACACTGCACGCGTTATTTGTGACAATTTTGACGCATATCGTTCCGCAACCACCGTGTTCGCCCGATTTGGCTCCGTGTGACTTCCTAAAACTCAAGAAAACTCCCCGGGAATTCGTTTGGAGACTATAAGGAGATAAAACCTAAATCGAAGAAGGCGCTGATGCTATACCGGCAATGCCAAATAGTCATGTTTCGAGGATTGGAAGAAACCCTGTTAAAAGTGCATTTTATTATTACTAATACGCACACATCGCCAAAACAAAGATTAGTGGGAACATCAATTTAAAAAGCAAAGTTATAATTTTTTTTCATTTATTTTTCCGATTGTTCCTATGGGAGCTATATGCTATAGTCGTCCGATCCGGCTCGTTCCGACTTATATACTACCTGCAATAGAAAGGCAACTTTTGGAAAAGTCTCATTAAGATAGCTTTAAAACTGAGAGACTAGTTTGCGTAGAAACGGACGAACAGACGGACGGACACACGGACATGGCTAGATTGACTCTCCTAGTGATGCTGATTAAGAATATATACACTTTTTAGGGTCGGAAACGTCTCCTTCACTGCGTTACAAACTTCCTACTGAAATTATAATATATTCTGTGCAAGGGTATAAATATACGCCCTTATCGCTTGCTCATGCTAACGTCAAATTGAATGCTTGGAGGGAAGCCATTATATAAATAGTTACAAATATTTAATTTAAACATGCCTAGTAGTTATTCATAGTAACTATTTTCATATTTTCTTTGAACGTTTTAAACTTAATTTTATAAGAATAAATATTTAATTCAAATTAAGTTCATATTCAAAACAAGAAAGAAAGCAAACTTCGGCAAGCCGAAGTTCATATACCCTTGCAGCTATTGCAATAATTAAACATTTAAAAAAAAAAAAATAAAATTATGATTTACTTGCGTTTATGTTTAAAAACATTGAAGCTGTGATGATTTGCACCTCAATTATTATATAGATATTTATATATTTTTATTATTTCTATGGGACTTATATAATATAGTTGTCAGATTTTGATGAAATTTAAGCCGTAATTCTGAAATATTTAACCATTACTATATGTCAAAGAACTAAAAAAAAATTTAAAAAACAGCGAATTTATAATTTGTTTGTATTTGTTTTCCGATTGTTCCTATGGGAGCTATATGATATAGTCGTCCGATTTTGATGAAATTTAAGCCGTAGTTCTGAAATATTTAACCATTACAATATGCCGAAGAACTAAAAACAAATTAAGAAACAGCAAAGTTATAATTTTTTTTTATTTATTTTTTCGATTGTTCCTATGGGAGCTATATGCTATAGTCGTCCGATCCGGCTCGTTCCGACTCATATGCTACCTGCAATAGAAAGACAACTTTTGAAAAAGTTTAATGCAGATAGCTTTAAAACTGAGAGAGATCGAATGATGCTGATCAAAACTATATATACTCTATAGGGTCGGAAATGTGTCTTCGCTGCGTTGCAAACTTCTGGCTGAAATTATAATACCCACTGCTAGGATATAAATATGGGAAGCCAGGTTTCATGTTGTTGAAAATACACTTCAAATGACACACCAATTTCCAGGATTTCTTTTTTTTTCGATATGCAGGCTTAATGCACTTGACTATGGTAAATTAACCTTTTCTAAGTATAGTGTCCCACTACAGCTATGGTCCATCAGCTCTGGTATTTGCGCTATTTTTAATTTAAGAAAATCACATTGTCTTTTCTTTAGTTTGATCTTTAAGAATGGTCAACCAATTTTAGTACACTTTTTGCGAATAAAAAGTCTTATGATTCTTCAACATGGTCTTGTTTGATTTGCAGAAGCGAATATATAAGCATTTTAATTTTCAAAATCACAGTGAAATTAAAAAATCTCATTTTGTGAATTCAAATAAAATTATTTTCCATGATTTTGCTTTTATCATTTAATGACGTGTTTTTCTATCATTTGAGACATTGGTCGTGTTTCTCAGCTGTTTCAGATTTAAAGCATTTTTTTTATACTTTTTTCCCAATCACAATTGCTGAAACATGTCACAGCTTTAAGTATTATACAACAATTTTTGAGCATTAGTTGGTTTTGCTTTTTACTTAAGTAATCATGGGCGTAAGCTATAAGTCTGTGGAGGGGTTTTAAAACAAATATGAAATATTTAAACAGAGGTTTATAGAAAACATTATAAATGTATTATTATTATCAACGATTCATTATAATTTGTAAATAATAATATATTTTCTGCATAGTAATGTTTATAGGATATTAAAAATAGTCGTTTAAGTAGGTTAAATCTTATTAGTCAACATATAAAAATATTTTGCATTGTAACTCAGATAATTAATTAGCCTGGACAACAATTTTCTAATGATGGCATAATCACGAGGATCTTATAAAAACGACCGAAACAAAATTTGCTTTATTTGTGTCGAATACATGTTTACAAAAAATATAAGAAAAATAACCTAAGAATTAAGGCACGCTTCTTTAAGTTATTTTGCTTCAAAATTTAAAGTAAATGAACAATGGACACCCAATTTTGTATGCAAACTGTGCCAATCCATTGCTTTGGGGTGGAAGAAAGGAAAGAAAACACGATTTACTTTTGGTATTCCCATGATTTGCCGAGAACAAGAAAACCATAGTAATGATTGCTATCTTTGTGCCTTCAACTCAACCGGGTTAAATAAAAAAAACAAGGGCCAAGTGCAGTACCCGCTAACAAAATCGACCCAAAGGCCAGTAGCGTAATGTTAACTGCGTTTCAAAACCTTAACTGCAACATGAGCATTAAGGTGCATTATCTTCATAGTCACCTTTCCAGATATCCAACGAACCTATTACTGGAGTCTTCATAGATCTTGTCGAGAGTCAAAATGGTCAAGGCGATCATTAAAAAGATGTTTTTCAAAAGAATCGAGAATTTCTGTCATTGGTGTAAATGTTTATATCCTCCAATATTTGATTTCTAGTTTCACATAAACTAAATAACAATTTTTACAAACGACCCAGCACAAGAGGGACATATGCGGTCAATTCTGAAAACCTGAAGAATTATGTTTCAAATAATTATTTGAACGACTGATTCTTTATCCTAATTAAATATTTATATATAATTCAACGATATTAAATAGGTGCTAAGTGTTAAGTAGAAAATGGTTTTCTTTAAATTCAAAAAAAGGTAATGAAATTAAGTAGGTATTTTTCCCGTTTAAAGTTAACTTAAAAAATTACAAAAATATAGTGCCAAAGACTACGTCCATGTTTAAAAAAAAGCAAATACTACTTGGACTTTATGGAAATTTTTTAGATTAAATAGTGACAGTATAAAAAAAAACGTTTAAGAATCGGAGCAGCTCAGAGAAACATGTTCGATGTGTCAAATGATGGAAACACATTTTATGTAAAATGTCGTAGTTCATATACCCTTACAGCTATTCCAAAAATTAAATATTTTTGGAAACATTAAAATTATGATTTACTTGCGTATAGGTTTAAAAACATCGAAACTGTGATGATTTGCTGCTCAATTATTCACTAGTTCCTATGGCAGCTATATGACATCGTTTTCTGATTTTAATAAAATTAAAAGCGTAATTCTAACTGTCAAAGAATTAAATAATCAAAAAGAATTTTTAAAAAAAGTTACAAAATAAAAAGGTTTAATTTAAATTTTTTTTTTTTTAATAGTTTTGTTGTTTCAATTGGAGCTTTATGTTATAGTCGTCCGACTTTGATGAAATTTAAACCGTTATTCTGAAATATTTAACCATTACTAAATGTCAAAGCAATAAACTAAAAATGAAAAACAGCAAAGTTATAATTTTTTTCATTTATTTTTCCGATTGTATACTACCTGCAATAGAAAGACAACTTTTGAAAAAGTCTCATTCAGATAGCTTTAAAACTGAGAGACTAGTTTGTATAGAAACGGACGGGCAGACGGACGGACAGACGGACATGGCTAGATCGACTCTCCTAGTGATGCTGATCAAGAATGTACTTTCTTTCATTGCTCATTGGAATCGTCATAGGTTGTCTTGCTCGCACTTACGTTAAATCGTATAGTTAAAAAAAAAATGAGCAATGAACGAAGCCATCAATGTAGTGTCATAACACCATTAACAAAATTATAATAATTTCAGGATAATAATGATATCAAACTTTCGAACATTTCGAAAAAAGGTCAAAAATTACACAGGCAAACAGAAGTTTTTTGCAAGCTCAAGCGCATATAATTATGACAAATTAGACTTTTCTATCACTTTTTTATACCCTTGCAGAGGGTATTATAATTTCAGTCAGAAGTTTGCAACGCAGTGAAGGAGACATCTCCGACCCTATAAAGTATATATATTCTTGATCAGCATCACTAGTAGAGTCGATCTGGCCATGTCCGTTTGTCCGTCCGTCTGCCCGTCTGTCAGTCTGTCCGTCTGTCCGTCTGTCCGTCCGTTTATATGCAAACTAGTCTCTCAGTTTTAAATCTATCTGCATGAAACTTTCAGAAAAGTTGTCTTTCTATTGCAGGTAGTATATAAGTCGGAACGAGCCGGATCGGACGACTATAGCATATAGCTCCCATAGGAACAATCGGAAAAATAAATTAAAAAAAATTATAACTTTTCTGTTTTTTAATTTTTTGTTTAGTCCTTCGACATTTAGTAATGTTTAAATATTTCCGATTTACGGTTTAAATTATATCAAAACCGGACGACTATAGCATATAGCACCCATAGGAACAATCGGAAAAATAAATGAAAAAAATTATAACTTTGCTGTTTTTTAATTTTTTGTTTAGTCCTTCGACATTTAGTAATGGTTAAATATTTCCGATTTACGGTTTAAATTATATCAAAACCGGACGACTATAGCATATAGCACCCATAGGAACAATCGGAAAAATAAATGAAAAAAATTATAACTTTTCTGTTTTTTAATTTTTTGTTCAGTTCTTCGACATATAGCAATGGTTAAATATTTCAGAATTATGGTTTAGATTTTATCAAAATCGGACGTCTATATCATATAGCTCCCATAGAAATAATAAAAATATATAAAATAACTATCAAATAATTGAGCTGCTAATCATCATAGCTTCAATGTTTTTAAACATTTACGCAGTTAATCATAATTTTAATGTTTTCAAAAATGATAAATTCTTGCAATAGCTGCAAGGGTATATGAACTTCGGCTTGTCGAAGTTTGCTTTCTTTCTTGTTATACAATAGATAGATTTTATAATCGAAAGCAATCCAAAATTGCGCCAAACTTGCACATAGAAAACAGCTGTTGTAGTGGTAGGACGAACAAAATATCGTTAAACATCGGTATTTTTCAGTATTTTTTCTAAAAACATTCGTGACGAATGGTTTTTAATCGCATTTAATTATCGCATTTATTTTAAATGCGGCATTTAGCCTTATGGGATTCCCTGTGAAAATAAATGCGCATCAGGCTAAATGCGTTTTAATGCGCCAATGAAATCTGGTCTTACGAGGATCTGACGAACTGTGAGCTTTTAGATAGCAACAACGGGAATTTGACTTCATACGGGATAGGAGCATTCAATAACCCCGAACTCGTAGCAATGATGAACACCAATCTAATTTATTTTCCTGAAGAAAATAATATTCGTTTCTACAGTTTTTTTTTTTCCGAATTTTACTAATGCCGTCCCTTAATTCTTGAAATTGGATAGCTTCAATAATTTTCTCAAAATCGAAATTCAGTTCTCTTGGCGAAATACTTTTATCAAAGGGCTTCGACACCTTTCTGCACCTTTGAATAGAACAAAAAACCAACACGAACACTCTTAGAATCTTCAGGTGCGACGAAATGGACTATATTTTCTAAAGCATACACATAATTTGGTTCTGGGGTGACTATGAAAGCTAGTGCCGATTTGCAAATGGACGTTGTTGACTTTCGTGGGAACGTGTCTCCAAACTGCTTTCTCCGACCACTCCTGAATTTTTGCAACCCGGTACAAAACAAAAACCGACAAGTAGGAGGGAATGGTTTTGATCCACTGTAAAGTGATCTCGGAGTCTGTCAAGAGGAAAACATAAGCAATGGCCTGACCCGATTATAGAGATCTGCTAAAAGGTGAGCTTCACAAAGTTCAACCCGAGGCAAAGTTTTCGTCTTGAGGAGAATTAATTTCTATTTGGCGGTCAATTAAGACACTCGCATAGAAGCGTCAGCGAAACGCTATACCTTAGCTTTCGGTAGCTGCAGAAGCGTCGCTTTAAACGTCTCCCTCGATGTGAGCAATCTCATTTTCGAAGCCCAGTTCCTGCCACAACATGTTTGCCTTTGAGACCAAAGGACACAAAAGGCCAAGTGGGTCGAAAAGTCGAGCAGTCACCGCCAAAATATTTCGCTTCCGCGCTAAGATCCAGGAAATTGAAAGTAATCATCATCCAACCGAAATTGAAAATAATCTTTAACCGGTAACCAAACCACGCCAAGGGTCTTAGTTATGTCATAAGTGGCATTACAGCGCTATCAGATGCGGATAACTTTTGGCAGTTTGAAAACCACTTTGCGAATTAAAAACCTGCCTCTTGCAAGAGAAACTTCGTCTCGAAGACTTTGCAGGTCTTCAATGCATCCGGCGCTAGTCAACAAATCGTCAACATAAAAATCATTCTGAATAACCTTTGTTGCTTCTGGATGAGTTGCTTGCGCCATCTCTCTTAGCCGCATTAAACACCGAATCGCAAAAAAGGGTGCCGGCAAAGTTCCGTATGTAACTGTGTTTAACCACTAACCATACAATATATATACATACAATATACTTTGGACAATATATATTGTATGGTTAGTGGTTTAACTTAAAGATTTTCGGGGACTCGGAAGTATCTCGTCTGCATACTATGAACTGGCAGTTTCGGTCAGCTTCATCCACCATCACTTGGCGATATATATTATTGACGTCGGCCGCAAGGGCAAACTTATGCATTCTAAACCGAAGCAGAGTCGAGTACAGCTCCTCTTGGATAGTTGGGCCTACCATCAAGATGTCATTCAACGCTACCTGCATGGAAGTACGGCATGATGCATCGAAAACTATTCACAACTTAGTTGAAGTACTTTGTGGCCGTAGAACGCACTGATGCGGAATGAAATAGTGTGGAGTATTCGGAATTTTGTCATTGGTGGATGACATGTGGCCCATTGAAACATATATTTCCATGAATTCAAGATACATCTTCTTCAGAGAAGAATCTACGTTTCGCAACTTCGTATGATGAACCAAGAGTATTTGGGTCAGATTTGAAAGGCAAACGAACCGACAATCTACCGGTCAACAATATTTGAGTATTTTTCTCAAAGTGTTGTTGACAAAGTTGTTGCTTAGTCCTACCCAGACCAACATTTCTGCAGGTTTGACTGTGACCCTTTCCTGAGCAGTTAATGCATAATGATATCGTGTAAAGTCTTGTCTTTGTCAACAAAAGTTTCATCATCAATCGGTCGTCAAAATCGGTCGACTATAGCATATAGCTCGCATAGGAACAATCATAAAAAAAATAAATAAAAATTATAACTTTGATGTTTATTAATTTTTTTTTTTAGTTCTTCGAGATCTAGTAATGGTTAAATATTTCAGAATTACGGTTTAAATTTCATCAAAATCGGACGACTATAGCATATAGCTCCCATAGGAACAATCGTATAGCTGCCATAGGAACTATCGAATAATTAAGCTGCAAATCATTATAGCTTCAATGTTTTTAAACATACACGCAAGTAAATCACAATTTTAACGTTTTCAAGAGTATTTAGTTTTTGAAATAGCTGCAAGGGTATATGTACTTCGGCTTGCCGAAGTTTGCTTGCTTTCTTGTTTCTTATAAGTTTTGCACTTATGTCATTAAAGTTAAAGTAAAATAAGGTGTTCTATCGGGTTGGACATACTTTGCTGCGTCTACGTTTCTCACTAACGGTGTACTCCCCAGAGAGGAGCTTCGTTTTTACATCCTTCGAAATGGATGCCCTAAAATGTAAAGCATAGTACAAACATAAATTTATATTTTCCTGAAACATTTATTATATTTACTTATATTGTCTACAAAACCAATATTTTCCATTCCTAGTGTTTTTGTTGCTCACTAATACTCTGATATACTTATACTGACACTGATACAAACAATCAACAAAATTAATAACATGTCTGAAATTTAAAAAAAAAAAGAAAATAGGCAAATATGTTTCTTAGTAACTAAGTTTATGAACACTTATATTGGATTCATAAGCTTTTTCTGGTGACTCTGCTATTTCACTGAACATCAGAATTTGTAGTCTTTTCGTTAATTTTGATCCAAATCGGAAAAATTCTTAGTAAATAAAAAAAATATTGCGGTCAATAAGCTAGTTTTTCTAACTGACAGACACCGTAAAATTTTTTATTTTGAGATATACCAAAAAAAGTATTTTTTGAATAACTTTTGAACGGTGCATTGTTTTCAATAGAATTTCAACAAAATTTTATATTTTGCCAACAAATGGTCAAGAACTCCACTTAAAAAAATATTTAGCAGGTCACTTTTGCCGACCTTTCTCCTGAACCAGTCAATTTTCCTAAAGTCTTGGTGTGTAACCCCTTTTCTTTTAACGATACCTTTTAATTGGTGTATAACTCGATACGATCGAATCACAGCAGATTTTCAAGTCTGCGGCTATATATAGTAGTCTCCTATACCTGGTCGGTATCGCAGTGACCTATTTCGAGTCAAATTATATTTTATCAAGTTGATCGTAACAAATTAATACTATGTGTAAAGTCACCTTAAAACATACTTATTAAATTGACGCTAAGCGTTTTTTTTGGGGGTACAGTATACGGTTACATCGTATTGTTGAAAAATACATAACAGGTAAGAGAAGCGTTTCCGATCTTAAACTGTATTCACATTATATCATATAGCTCCCATAGGAACAATCGAAGGAAAAAATTACAAAAAAATAAAAATAACTTGCGGTTTTTCGTTTTTTTATCGTTCTTCGATATATAGAGTTGGTTTACGTTTTTGAAAATATCTTTTAAATTTGATCAAAATCTGGAGACTAAATCATATATCTCCAATGGAAACAATCGGAATATTAAAAATTATTTTGGACATAAGATGGTATAATAATTGAGAACTACGCTTTTAATTTGACATAAATCGAAATACGATATCGTATAGCTGCCATCATCATAGCTTCAATGGTTTTTACGGCACTTCATATAATTCGAAATTTAGATGTTTAATTTTTGCAATTGCTGCAAGGGTATATAAACTTCGGTTTGCCGAAGTATTTTATCACTTATATATTAGAGAAAAACAGAAAACTAATGCGAACATTCTTTAAATTTTTTCTTTTATTTTTAGGACGATTTTTGACGTGGGCGTGCCACTGGCGGGAAACTCCGCACATGTCGGTAACTACATGACCAGTACCAGCATTCATTTACCTGTAGTATCTGTGTCGAGTGGAGACCTTAGTAGGGAAAACGCTATTCGGAAGTGTTTCCAACGTCCTTCCCTACCCTTTGTGATTGGTATTCTCGCTCTTGGTGGCGTGGCGTGCACTCTAGGCGGCATTGTGCTGGGCAGCACAGGACTCATAGAGCACTCCACTCAATATCTAAGCGCTGCTCTATTGATGATTGGTATCGGAGTTTCATTATTGGTGATTTCGGGGGCCGTTTGGAGGCTGAGTTTGCCAGACAACGTCGACGATTGTCTATGTTTTAGGCAGACTGAAACTTGCGGTCATTGTAATAGTCCGCATTGCCACAACCGAGTTCTTCCTGAAAGCTTTTTGCACACAGAATTTCAGAATCGACAGCCGCCGCCATCCTATCTAACATCTCTTAACGAGTATTCTTTGGTTTACCACCATTCGACAGCTGCCATCGTAGCTCACACCCCATTACGATTGAACACTCCTCCACCGCTGTATAGTTCTACGTACTCTCTAAAGTAAGCATTTGCACATCATTTTTATCCGAACCTACAACTTTATTAATCATCATTTCAGCACATCAACTACGATTGATCCTTCTGAAGCAAATTATTTTTTGCGAACAAACGAGCTTATTGCGGGTACCCAGGCGGCAGCCGTGTATACCAGAGAGAATGTCAGCGATATATCATATAAGGATATAATTATCGATGAAGCACCTACGGCTGAATCTGCGGGTCAACTCTCCTAAAACTTATGACACTAAGAATTTTTTAAAGAGCTGGAACTTGACTTGATCGTGTTTACCTTAATTAAGCGATTGATCATCGGTTAAACTATTATTTGTTATTCTAAAACCAGAATGAACGTTATAGTCGAGTACCCCTACTATAAGATACCCGTTACTCAGCTTCTGAACTTAAAAACACGAAGAAACGCTATAGTCAAGTGCCCCGACGATAGGATACCCGTTGTTAAACCAATTTAAAAATAAATATGCCCCGAGAAAACAATCGAGTTTTACGTGGCGTAATCTACCGTATATATGAAGAATGTTTTTTTAGTAAAATAAGATCAATGATCTAAATCAGTTCAGCAGAAGTGGAAATAAAAAACAAGAGAAAACGATATAGTCGAGTTTCACGACTATTAGATACCCGTTACTCAGCCAACAAACTTCAAACTAAGTATACAAAATGTTGTGTTTGGTTAGGAGCGTTCTCGGTGAGTGCTTGGTACAGACTGACTTTATTCAGAGATCAGCGAGAGAATGAACAAAAGTAACGTGTGTGTGTATACATGTGTGTGCTTATAGAACGAAGGAATACAGATTAGTTTTGGATGTGCGATGTAACGAGAATACATTTTGCTTATACATAACACATCTCCTCCTTTAATTAAGAACTATTTATATGCTTAGTTTTTCTGAAGTCCTTTGGCTTAAAACGATCGACTTCCTGGCGAACACGGCTGCTTTGGCGTACTGGTATGCCTGAAAGACGTCGTGTAGATTGGTTCTGCCTCGGCTGCTGGGTAGGCTCTGCTGCGCGTTCAGGAGGACGAGAAACAGGAACAGGATCAGATTGCTGAACAACTGGCGGAGTTAGCGGTCGATCTTGTTGCTGTATTTCTTGATTGCAGGATGGCTTTGGCAGTTCAGGAATCCACCAAAACTCTGGAGGTCTCTTGATTGAGTGGTTTGCTGACAACTTCGGTTTTAGCTGGTTGAAATGGCGCTTGATGTAACCATTTGACGTGCGAACAATGAACAGCATTTTTCCAACTGGACGGTCGATAATGCCTTCAATCCACTTTTCTCCCCTTGAATAGTTTCGAGCGTATACCATTTGATTAGAGGTGTACTTGGTGGTTGTCCGTTTATTCTCGACAGGCTGCTCGAAAAGTTGACTAAGCACGGTACGGACTGGTCGACCGTGGATTAACTCGGCAGGAGTTTTACCTTGGGCGTTTGGAGTGAACCTGTAAGAAGAAAGATATTTTGTTACAGCTTCCCTAAGTGGTATACCGTCTTTGAGGTTCTTCTTGACTGCGAATTTAAATGTCTGTACAAATCGCTCTGCTAATCCGTTGGATGCTGGATGAAACGGTGCTGTGGTAATATGCTTTATACCGTGCAGTTTGCAGAATTCTTCGAAGGCGTCAGCTGTAAGCTGAGGACCGTTGTCGCTAACCATGGTTTTCGGGTATCCTTCGATGGCGAAAATCGAAGAAAGTGCAGCGATCGTGTTGGCGGTTGTTGTAGACGACATTTGGATGACAAATGGGAACTGCGAGTACGCGTCCACGCATATGAGCCACATAGCGTCAAAGATTGGACCGGCGAAGTCGATATGAATTCGCTCCCATGCTGTTGTTGCTGCTGGCCAACTTTGGTACTCTCTTGGTGGTGCAGGATTGTTGCACTTGCAGATGCTACAAGACTGAGCAAGGCTTTTGATGTCATCGTCTATGGTAGGCCACCAAACATGTTGTCTTGCCAACTGCTTCATTCGAATAATGCCCCAATGGCCTTCATGTAAGAGTTTAAGGATATGGGCACGTAGACTGGCTGGAATTATAATACGATTTGCGTCTGTGTGTAGGCAAAGCAATTGTTTGTTAATTGTAAGAGCAAACTTCCGGTTAAAGTAAGGCAATAGGGCTTCGTTGCCTGGCTGGAGTTTTTCTGGCCATCCTATAGATACGTACTGCAGGACCTGTTTAAGAACTTTGTCTTTGTCCATGTGGTTGCGAATTTGCTCGGAATTTATCGGTGGTGATACTTCGACTACATTGTGGCAAGCTTCCTCTTCTTTGTCGAAGTCTGGATCTGTACCCACTGGGAGGCGTGAAAGAGCATCTGCATTACCATGAGCAGATGTGGATCGATACTGGATATCGAAGTTGTAGGCCATGAGAATAATAGCCCAACGTTGTAGCCTGTTTGACGTCATCAACGGGAGATGCTTGCCTGGATTAAAAATGGTTACAAGCGGCTTGTGGTCTGTGATTAGGATAAACTTTCTGCCATAAAGGTATTGATGAAAACGCTTTACTCCAGATATTATGGAAAGTCCTTCCTTTTCGATTTGGCTGTATTTAACCTGGTGCTTGTCGAGCGTTTTAGATGCGAAAACAATGGGTCTCTCTCCGCCATCTGGCTGAAGATGCGAAAGGACTACCCCGATGCCAAAGGATGAGGCATCTGTAGCGAGCACTAGCGGTAATTTTTCATCAAAGTGAGCTAGCTGCGTTGCGTTAATGATGTGGGACTTAAGCGCTGTAAAAGCCTGCTGCTGTTGTGGACCAAAAAAGAAGGCTACGTCTTTTCTGCGAAGTTGATTCAATGGAGCAGCCAACTGCGAATAGTTCGGAATAAAATTACAATAATAATTCACTTTACCCATGAATGCTTCCAATTGTTGTAAGTTAGAAGGCGGACACAACAGTTTTACAGCCTCCAAGCCTGAACTGTCTGGGAGAATGCCGTTTGCGCTGATTCTTCGCCCTAAGTATTCTATTTCGTCCTTGAAAAAGAAGCATTTTTGCCGTTTGCATCTGATGCCGTTCTCTTGAAGAGTGCGGAGAACTCGGTCGATTCGGTTCAGATGTTCCTCGCTTGTAGGTGCTGAGATGATGATGTCATCTAAATAGTTGCCACAACCTTCTATTCCTTTTAGAAGTTGCTCGAGGTATCTTTGGAAGATAGCTGGTGCGCTTGCAATCCCGTAAGGAAGACGCTGATATTGAAAAAGGCCCAGTGGAGTGTTTACCACCATGATTTCCTTCGAAGCCTCATCTAATTCCATCTGGAGATAGGCATCCTTGAGGTCTATCTTGCTGAACTGCTTACCATGACGAATGATGTGAAATAGAGCTTCTTTTGTTGGTAACGGATACTGTTCGGCGTCGATTTGTGCGTTGACTGCCTGTTTAAAATCGCCACAAATACGAATATCGCCACCTGGCTTAGGAGCGAGCACGATTGGGGATGCCCAATTGCTGAATTTTACTGGTTTCCAAATTCCGGCTTGGGTGAGTCTGTCTGCTTCGGCTTTAAATTTGTCCATTTGAGCGAACGGAATTTGGCGGCATTTATAAAACTTTGGTGTCGCTGAAGATTTTAAAAATACGCTGGCTTTGAAGTCTTTAATGACACCCATGGCTGGTTCAAACACTTCGCTGTACTTGTTGCAGAGGTCACTTACTTTGTCATTATGTACCTCAAAAATGTTTGATACTTGCATGATATCAAATACGAAAACGTTAAATAAATCCATGCCGAAGAGATTAGTAGAACTTTCTATATTTGCCACGATTATGACCACTTGTTTCTCTTTCTCTCCGCACTTTGCGAAAGTGTGAAGCTCCCCTAGTATTGGTATTGGAGTATGTCCAAACGCATGTAAAACTCGGGAACACTTATGCAATTTCGGCTTCTGCAGCAAGGCGTATGTATTGGAGTTTATCACGGATGCTGTTGCTCCGGAATCCATTTGAAATGAGATAACTTGTTTTAATATTTCGAGGTCAATAACTTTTCTGTTTTGTTGACATTTTACTTGACCTGTGACACTGTAAACTGCTTCGATCACTTCGACTTCGTTTGCTTCGTTCTTATTGGACTTTACTTCCCGGTTATTTACTTGACTCGGCCATTTGACATTTGACTTGACATACTTTGACATACAGACGACTGCTATATGACCTTTCCTACCGCACTTGTGACATACGGCGGTTCTGAACTTACATTGTTCTCTCTGGTGAGTTTGACCACAACCAGAGCAAGATTTAAGATCACCTTTAAACGATCTTGCATCGTTTCCACTGCTTGCTGGCTTTTTTGTGTATGTGTGGATCGCATTGATTGGATCCTGTTTGTATACGTTCTCTTTTAGCGTTGCAACGGTTTTTGTTGTTGTCTCATAGGTTTCTGCAACTATGAGAACATCTTCAAGAGTTGGCTGTGTCTTTTGAAGAGCAGATGCCCGGACTGCATCATACGGAGTATGTACTATGATCTGATCTCGTATCATCTCATCTACATAATTTGATAAACAACCGTTTGCGTTGCACACAAATTGGCATTCACGAGCGATCCCGCGCAAGTCGGCTACCCACTCTCTATGTGTTTGTGAATGCTTCATCTCTCGTTTGAAAAACTCGTAGCGAGCTGCTACAATATGGCGTTTTGTAGTGAAATGCTCCGTTAGCTTGTCTGTGAGCTGCTTGTATGTATACGTGTTCAAATTGTTACTCCCGAAAAGATTTTTTAATAGTTCGAATACGTTAACACCACACCATGAAAGGAAATATGCCTTTTGTTTTTGTTCTGCACTAACCGAATATGCGTTGAAGTGCTGCGATAATTGTTCCAGATATGACTCCCAATTTAATTGTCTTTGTCGAATTTGTGGAATGGAGGACACATAGATAATTCACCCGCGTGGCTTGAATCACTAGCAACTGGAGAAGCGTTTTTTTCTAGGATTGCTTGTATCCATGTTCGTTGTTGTTCAATAAGAGCTGCTGTAAATTCTTGCTGTTGAGCAAGCATTGTCTGGATTATGTTCTGATCTGCCGGCATCTTGATCAAAATCAACGACTACGCGACACTGTATTACACAAAAACGATGTGTTTTTGCGGCTGATAACACGGTTTACACAAGAATGTTGAATTCCTTTACGATTTTACACAAAAACGATAATTTTTGTGGCTGAGATTCTGCTTTTTATCCTCGTCGCCAATAATGTTGTGTTTGGTTAGGAGCGTTCTCGGTGAGTGCTTGGTACTGACTGACTTTATTCAGAGATCAGCGAGAGAATGAACAAAAGTAACGTGTGTGTGTATACATGTGTGTGCTTATAGAACGAAGGAATACAGATTAGTTTTGGATGTGCGATGTAACGAGAATACATTTTGCTTATACATAACACAAAACAATCGAAGTTTTGGTGGCTCCATCTTTCGAAATGCATAAACAACACAAGAATCTAAGTGTGTGCAGCACCCCCACTCAACGATAACAGCTCTATCGTTTTGTCTCTCTAATGCAGAGATTACCGGCAAGCAGCGGCAGAGGGGCGGCAGAGGCGCGGTAGATATGATCAAAAAACACACACACAGTCCAACATCTATTGCATAATTTGTTTCGTAATCGGCACAAAGCTGCACAATAAAATCAGCCTTGTTACTTAACCAAAACAAATTGAATAAAAACAAGAAAGCATGCAAACTTCGGCAAGCCGAAGTTCATATACCCTTGCAGCTATTTCAAAAACTAAATACTCTTGAAAACGTTAAAATTGTGATCTACTTGCGTGTATATTTAAAAACATTGAAGCTATAATGATTTGCAGCTTAATTATTCGATAGTTCCTATAGCTATATGCTATAGTTGTCCGATTTTAATGAAATTTAAACCGTAATTCTGAAATATTTAACCATTACTAGATCTCGAAGAACTAAAAAAAAAATTAAAAAACACCAAAGTTATAATTTTTTTTATTTTTTTTATGATTGTTCCTATGCGTGCTATATGCTATAGTCGTCCGATTTTGATGAAATTTAAACCGTAATTTTGAAATTTTTAACCATTACTATATCTCGAAGAACTAACAAAAAAAATTAAAAAACATCAAAGTTATAATTTTTTTGTATTTATATTTATGATTGTTCCTATGGGAGCTGTATGCTATAGTCGTCCGATTTTGATGAAATTTAAACCGTGTTTCTAAAATATATAATCATTACTATATCTCGAAGAACTAACAAAAAAATTAAAAAACTCCAAAGTTATAATTATTTTAAAATTTATTTTTCCGATTGTTCCTATGGTAGCTATATGCTATAGTAGTCCGATCCGGCTCGTTCCGACTTATATACTACCTACAATAGAAAGACAACTTTTGGGAAAGTTTCATGCAGATAGATTTAAAACTGAGAGACTAGTTTGTGTAGAAACGGACGGACAGACGGACGGACAGACGGACATACGGACATGGCTAGATCGACTCTCCTAGTGATGCTGATCAAGAATATATATACTTTATAGGGTCGGAGATGTCTCCTTCACTGCGTTGCAAACTTCTGACTGAAATTATAATACCCTCTGCAAGGGTATAAAAAGTTTTTTTTATTGGTAAAATAAAAAATAGTCGTCACAAAATGTGATATAAGGAGGTAAATGAAGTTTTTTGTTTTGGCAGCAATATTAGTAGCCTTAATAGTAAGCCAAAGAAACATGAAGACACCATTTGCTCTGCCCATCCTGCTAAGAGACATTTCCTTAGTTCAACTTGATTTCCCACCTCAATTCTCAGACTCGCACCACCTCTCATCACTAAGAGCAAGCAGTGCAGCATGCAATTTATAGTGGGATAACAATACATGTTTGAACCAAAAACTGAGAATTGCGGTGATAAGTCAAATTTTTATATAGCACGCAATACGGGTATGACATTACATTATTCGTTTCATTCATTGACAGATTCATTGAAGATCAGAGACAGAGTCAACTATATGGATACTGCTTGAGATATTTTTGGTAATAAGTTCACGGTCGCACTGCCTTTTTAACGATAAATTTAAACTTTATTGTTTTGTTATTATATTATGTTTGTTCCGCTGAATTTAGCATTTAAAGGGTATCAGTTGTTACCTTTAAATGGTAAAAATTATTTCGTCTACATTTAAGCCTCGCTTTTTCATTCCGTTTTGTCGTCAGCTCCAATAAATGGACAAAATTGTACTTTTTAGATACAATGTTGCTCATTTATGTATCGGCCCCGGTGGTATTTCATCGATTGGTATTTTTATACCAAAATCCGGTTCATATTTTTTGCTCTCGGGTATCAGTTCTAAAAATTTTATTCATTTATTGCTCATTAGAATCGTCATAGGTTGTCTTGCTCGCACTTACGTAAAATCTTATGGTTAAAAAAACAATGAATGAGTCCAACAATGTAGTGTCATAGCCCCATAAACGTAACTTTAGTCGTTTGGAAGTTGTGGGCTTTTGAAATCTAGTTTTTGTATCCGTTTTCCCGCTAAACTAGCGGGTTTTCCAAAACGTGGTAGAACAAAAGTTTTTCAGCTCGAGCTGCTTAATACAGTGAAATTGTATTCATTTTTAGTATAAGACAAACATTTTTTTTGGCACTTTTACCCCTTTTTCTCCGAAACCAAATGACTTTCTAAAACTCTTAGTATGTACAAACTCTTATAAAAGTGATGCATTTTGATTGCTACACCATTTATTAAGATCGGACTATTCTTAGCTGAAATATTGCGGCTATATCGTAGTCTTACCGGTGCTCATCGTCATTACATGTACTGCCGTTCAAAGTGACAGGCATGAAAACAGGTGAAAAACGTAATTTACACTTTAAAACAAAAATGTTGCCATACAAAAATGTGTTTCAGGGAAAATTGTAAACTAGCACGGACACGCTATTTTGGAATTGTTTGATTTTATTGTGCAGCCTTGGCTGATTACGAAACTAATTAATAAGAACCTCAAAACCACGACCATGAGTTGTCCCTTATGACTTGACTATTAAAAACCATAGCAACCAGTTCTGAGAATGCATGAAAAGCTCGAAGCTGTTCAGTGCTGACAATAGTTAGAAATTTAACTTATGCAGAAATACTCAGTTTTAAAGCTAACTGTTTGAAACTTTCTCAAAAATTGTTTTTCTATGTCGGACGACATATCATTTAGCTCCCATACGAACAATTGGAAAAAATCTCTCAGTTTAAAAGCTATCTGCATGAAACTTTTCCAAAAGTTGTCTTCCTTATACAGGTAGCATTGCAAGACGACATAACATAAAAAAAATCTATCTTTGCTGTGTTTCAATTTTCTATTTCGTTTCTATGGCAGCATGATATCGTTTTCGATTTGAAAGCGTAATTCTGAATTATTAA